TGCTATGGTGTGCTTCATGAGTATCTTCTTCAGAAATCTTTAATGAACACAATTTTTTAGGCAAGTTGGATGTTTCTTTTTATTCTTCGAAACGAGCGAGAAAGGCGAAAACAGACTATTCAGGGGCAATCACTTGAAGAGAATTAAGGATAATAAAAGCTGGAGCGATGGACGCGTGCAATCTAATCACCGCACGTGTTTCTCCTTTTTTTTTGTCAGCTCGGCCATAGCAACGCGTGGAAAACAAGTGGGCGTGATCTGTTTCCGCGCACACAATTTGTCTCTTCTTGCCAGCAGCACCCCTCTCCCGTTGTTTCAACGATGTGTGCCCAGCTCGTATACCCCCCTGTCGAGCGGACGCTGACGCACATGTCGGCTTGTCCAGCTATGAACTCTCAGCGACAATGGATGACCAGCCACTGGCTCGTTGTGCTTGCGAACGAAGTCCCTCTGTCATTGCGTTCTCGTATCCAGCTCTCGCACTTGTCTAACCGCATGCGGACAACCTGAAGCCGAGAGACGCCTCCCATAGAGCGGGCCTGCACCTATTGCAGGTATAGTGAGGACGCGAGGTGTACCGAATATGCACGACGCAAAACCCCCATGTCGGCCAAATCACCTATAGACCAAATTAGCTAGACATAATTAGGTGCCGTATCACAATAACGAATTAGTTATAATTCATGAACAATCGTCATGCTGCTAAATGATACCCACCTTTGACGCCGAAGATCAATTATCTAAACTTGAAAAAAAAGTGAGAGATCAGGACAGTTGAAACGAAGACAATCTGTGACTACCAACTGACATTATTATTTACAAAACCAACATTATATAGAACATAGGGAGAATGAAAAACAATAGGGCTACAACGTTTTAGTCTTATATACGACGTTAAATAAGTGATTGCTCGTTAAACACATCTTTAGGTTTAAACTTATGTACCAACTCGCCCGCCTTTCACCACTTTTGCAAACGGATTATCTACTCAAGCAAATGTTTATGATATACATATTGTTGTGCGATTTCGGCTATATGTGGTGTGGTGTGCGAAGAGGACAACGTGTTATTGTTAAAAAAAAAAGCCGCCATCTTGGCTTAGGTTCCTGCCGTAAAGTAGTAAATATATCCGCAGCATTTTGGTGGAGATGCTGGTACGACGCAAGACGGAACTCTGAGCGGACGTGTCCACCCCCGACAGCCCCACCAAGTGAACAGAAAGTTGCTATGCTGCTTCTGTTTCAACCACGACTCCAGTACAGCCGGTCGTAGTGACGCAATCATGCATACCTGGAAACTTCTGCGGCACAAGCCACGTTTATGTGTTGATGACCATATATCGATGTTGGGGTGGTTAACATCGGGCTATCAGTGGGACCCTAAAATGATGCCAACCAACGTTGGCTTCTATCTCTGCGGAACAGCAGGCACGTAGTTTGAGGCATGTCAAGGTGACTTAACCCGCGGAGATGCTAGTAAATAGAAGCTTCATGATCTATTTGGTAAAGCTGTCGGGCGCCAGCGGGCCGCTTCTAAACAGCTCTCTGTTCAAGCACAAACTACGAGTGAATGACCCTAGCTTCAAAACAGATCTTCAAAACCGCAACAGACCCTAACTTCAAAATCATGATATGTGTGTCAAGTGACAACAAGACTACATGTCACACTCATGATGTGCTCACGAACGTTTTGCTAGCTTTGCATATACCGAATTTGGTATTACGGGACGTGAAAGAATGACAAATGTATGTGACTGGTGCAAACACTATAATCATGAGATGCGTGTCATCTAACAACATGACTACATCCCACTTTTGTGATGCGCTCGCGGCCGTTTCGCTACCTTCACATATTCCAAAATTGGGTTTACGTCACGTGAACGGATGACAAAGGCATGTGACAGGTGGAAACATGATAATAATGAAACGCGGGTCATCTGAGAACATTAAACCACGTCTCACTCGAGGCGCCAATACATTTCGACGTGAGCCAGCGTGCGTGCGCGCTGGCGTTCGTTTTATCGTGTCACGCCGGCGATGCCACGCCGGGCGCCGATATCCCGCTAGTAGAGATCAGTGAATCTGGCCATTGACCTTCATTTTGAGTCTGCATGCCATCTACTCGCAGGCGCACGCCACACTGCGTTGCTTTAACGCATGCGCGTTTGAGCGCACATGGCGTCCCTCTGTCACGAAGAGAGGCAGAGGCGTTTCTGTATAAGTAACATCATCGGCGCGGAATGCATCATGTTGCTTTTCGCGCCGGTTGTCACCGGGCTGCGGCGACAGACGCTGGTCGCGTCGGTCACGCCTGGCGTCACACTCTAGAGTGCTCGCGTTTTGCTAGCGTAGCGTCGATGCGCCCAGCCAGCGCGTGCGTCAACGTTGCGTCGGAAAATATTGGCCCTTCATGACCCGCTCGCCGCTGTTGCGCTAGCTCCACTTGGAACAAATTTGGCATCACCCGAAGTGAACAGACAACAAAGGTGAATGACACGGCCAAATTGCTATCCCAATATGCGCTTTATGTAAAACATGACTACATGCTACGCTCATAGTGTTCCCGCGGTCGTTTCACTAGTTTCACATATACCAAATTTAGTATTACGTTATGTTAATGAATGATGAATGTATATGACATGTCGAAATATGATAGTCATGATACGGATTTCATGTGAAACTTTACTACATGCATGCTGGCAACCGTTTCGCTAGCTCCGTATATACAAATGTTGGTTTGGGGTGATGGTAATAGATGACGAAGTTAAATTAAATGTCCAGACATGATAATCATGATAATGAAGTCATGTAGGGCATAGTTTACCTCCGTCTATTAACGTTGTGCTGATTTTTAATTGACCTATCACCTTCCCTTTCGCAGGGAGAAGATCGGCTTAGTAACGGCTGACAGTCTCTACTAATTCTGAGTCATGCCATTAGGCTTGTGCAATGCACCGGCGACGTTCTAGCGGAAGACGGACGCGATTTTGCGTAGGTTTTGTTATATGTACAATTTCATAGCGTTTCCCCACCCTTTGTGTCTCACCTAGAGCGAGTTTCATACATTCTCCCAGTGTTTTTTGCAGCCGCGCTACGAATTCATTTTTCGAAATGCCATTTGGGGCATCGCCAAGTTGGTATTCTGAAGCATTTATTTGACTCATCTGGCATCCGCCCCAACCCCCACAAAAGTAGTGCTGTCCTCGATTTTGCCGTTCTAACATGTGCTATGAACGTTCGAACTTTTGTTGGCCTATGCTCATGCTTCCGACTGTTTGCTAGAAACTTCGCGAAAATTGCACGCCCCCTCACTGATCTTCTCAACAAAGGTGTGTCATTTGAGTGGCGTGCTTATCAAGCCAACGCGTGTTCCCAGCTCGTACCGATGCTCACCACACCACCGATTTTCATCCACTTCGGCCCGCCTGCTTCAACTGAGGTCCACACTGATACTAGTGGCTACGTTTAAAGTGCGGTCTAACCGACTGTGAATCTGATCATGATCGAGGTCTTGCGTATGTCAGACGGCTCCTTTTTCTAGCCGAATTTAATTGCTCTCTAGCCGAATTAAGTTACCTGGTGCTTGTACGGGCTGTTAGCAAATTTCACCCTATTTACATGGCTGACTTTAACCGATGCCACTGACCATCACGCTATATGCTGGCTTTCAGATCTCAAGGATCCAACGGGGCATTTTGCTCATTGGGATTTTGTCTCGATACATTCACGTACAGTGCGGTTACAAGTCTGGTCTTCTATGCCAAGACGCCGACTGCTTCTCGCATTACCATGGTGAGCAACATCGTGACGCGTTCCTACAAAATTTAATTAAAAATCATGTGACCCACCCAATAAAGGACACTGCTCCAAGAACTCAGACAGACGTTTGTTAGCGTCCGCTTGAGACCAAAACGTAAAAGATATCTTCTCCTTTTCTTCTTTCAACAAGCTCACAAGCTCTCTCGCACGCTGGCGCCAAGCTAGTTGTTTTGTTCATTCAGGCTGAACGTGGGAAATTTAACACTAATCAACTGCCTGAATACTGGCTCGACGGAAACTTCAGTTCGAATGTTCAGATTCTTAGACGACAACTCTTACTGTCGGAATGTGCACCCCGTGGGACAGGGGGTGCATATTTTTTTGCTAATATAACATTCTTTTCCCGCCATCAAGCCTGCTTAAGCGAATATGGAAACGTGTTGCAAGCACTGGTGTGACTCAGTGGTAGAACGCTGAGCCTGCTTACAGGAAACCCCGGTTGCTGCCTTCTTGATGTTTTTATTTACAAAGTTTTTTATTATGTCTTCTTATAGTGGTTATGGACAGCAGCACCACACAACTACGGCGCCGCACGTGAACTGTTTTGTGATCTCAAAATAGCTTTCTCTGTAAAAGCATTTTAGAATAGGAGAGGGACAACAGGCGTCACAGACTGTGAATTGCGTAGGGAGTGGGTTGACCAATGGTCCAACCCTTTACAAAAGCTTGAACCTGTTCACCATTTAACTATGGCGCATACCCACTGTGCGGGATTGTTGGGATGACAAAAGGTTCTGGCATAATTCTTCATCGTTGGCAGCCACAGCACAAAAAAAGTGCACGAACGGCACGTACTGTGCGTTTCGCGCCGGCAAGGCTGTTTCTTTCATGTTTATAGCTTCATGCCTGTTACAAAATGTTCAGCAAAGTAAGGCACCAACTCGGCCAAAAACACGTTCTTCTAGGGTATTACTACTCGTTATTCTCTACCGCAGCTGTTCTATTGCAACCAATTGCCTTCATGCCCTACGCGCAATACTTGCTTCTTCTTGCCTATTTTTCTTTCCGATAGAGTTATTCTTCGCACAACAACTTACTTGTACGGCCTGCACACTTATGTTTCCACAATCACTGACACATCAGCTCTCAAGTGGCCCATCGAAATCATCCTATTGTGATTTGAAAGTATATACTGTTAGCGATTTTTATTAACAAGATGCACTAAAACCAACATTCACGCAGGCTAACGCGAACACCGGCATGCTTATGGACACATGCCACAAGCAGCACATGAGCCCAGTGGCCGGGACATCGGATCCCCATAGAGGACTAGTCGAGCTCCACCACACTAGCAACACCTGTGGTCGCCTATCCGGGGCAGCGGCTGCTCTATCGGCTGATTGATAGAGGCTGTCGCCGCGCAAAAGCCCCTCGCGTTCACGCACGTCCGAGCACGCCCCAAAACAGAGCCACGCATGCGCACTCTCCGTGAACCTCGGCTTTTTTGCAGTCCAAACCACTGCTGCTTGCTCTGGTTGCTTTCGAGACATTTTTTCTGCGCGTTTGCTTAGTGCTTTTCCATCTCATAGCCTGCTCCTTCGTTATCCCCGAAAGCAGAACTTGTTTTTTTTTTTACTTCGGCGTGTTGTTGTTTTTGGTTTCATTTTTCTCACACAAATACAGTAGTTCGGTATAGTGGCAAAAAGTAATAAGAGAGCAAATAGCGTATTGAAAAACCGTTTTTGAACCTAGATATTTCCGTTTTTCTCTTGCAGAAGTATATATATAATGGTGGCACCTGCAAGTAGGCATCACTGGGCATGTAATAACCTTTAGAGGTCTACGCAAATCGATGTCAGTGTAGGTTAAATGGCATTGTGAAACTGGATGGTTGTTTGTAAGACCGCTGGAAACCTGGACACCGGAAGAATAGCGTTCCTGTTGATTTGAAAAGCGATAGATGCTGGTTTTAGAATTTGACAGGTGAATCTTTCCTAATACATTTGGAAAGAAGACAATGTGACTGTTTCCCACGGGTTCTTATGAAATGATTGCTAGATTTAAGCGCACAAACAGACGAGGACAAAAAGAAAACGTGGCTGATCCCCCTAACTCGTAATTGGTATAACACGAAGGTGTGTCTTCACGGAGCTAGTTGGGCATTTATTGTGTATTTGTTTCACCAAGATTTTACTGATATCTATTTACTGATAACAACAACGCGCTAAAATTCCGGAGTTTTGAGGACCACCAAACGCTGTGAGATGTATATAAATTGCTTGCTAGTAACTTCGTTGACTGCGTTAATTTCTTGGCATAGTGGTTATCGCCACACGCTGCAAATCATGAGATTGCTAGTTCAACGCCGCATGACTAAATCTTCATACTCTTATGTGACTCCTAAAGAGAAAAATGGCAGATCCCACGTACAGTGGGAATCGATGATATGCGAAGCACGAAGGAGAAATGTTGGTATGTCACTCTAAAAGTAGCATCACGTTATGAGGTGGAGGTAAACGATTCCGTACATGACTTGCGTGCCATCATTATCATGTTTGGATGTGTCGTTTACCTTCTTCATCTATACACGTCACGTGATACCAAATTCAGTACACGTAGAGCAAGTGAAACGGCCGCGTGCACGCTATGAGCGCGATATGTTGTCATGTTTCTACATTACACGCGTGTCAGGATTATCATGTTTACGCCAGTCACATACTTCGTCATCCATTGACGTCACCTAACACCCAATTTGGTATATGTAGAGCAGGCAAAACTGCCGCGAGCACGTCATGAACGGCCCAATATACTTCAATGTAGCGTTGATGCTCACCCACGCTGGACACAGCGACGCTACGTTAGCATAACGCGAGCCCTCTATAGTCTTACGCCAGGCACGACCGACGCGACCAGCGTCCGTCGGCGCGGCGCGACGGCAACCGGCGCGAAATACGCCCCCATGCGTTACCCAGACAACACTGCGTCTCCCTCTTTTCGTGACGGAGGAATGCCTGACGCGCTGAAACGCGCATGCGTCAAAGCAATGCAACGCGGCGCGCGCTTGCGAGTATATGGCAGGACTGGTGCCTGGCGTGGCCATGCCGGCGCGACGTGACGAAATGAACGCCGGCGACCACGTGCATCACGTCATGTCGAAATGTAATGACGTCTTTACTGTGGCATGCAGTCAAGTTCTCGCATGACGCGCATCTCATGATTATCATCTTCGCACCACTCTCATACCTGAATCATCCATTCACCTCACGTAATATTAAATTTGGCATACGTGAAGCTAACCAAACGGCTACGAGCGCATCAAAAGTGTGGCATGTAGTGAAGATGTTACATCACACGCATGTCGTGATCATTATGTTTGGAAGTGTCATTTACTTATGTCGTCCGTTCGCGTCTCGTAATACCGAGTTTGGTGTATGTGAAGCTAGCAAAACGGCTGCGAGCGCATCAGGAGCCTAGCATGTAGTCAAGTATTTACATGACACTAATCTGATGTTTAGCATGTTTGCGCTAGAATCGTACATTCGTCATTCATTCATGTCCCACAATACTAAATTTTGTGTATGCGACGCTAGGGAAACGGCCGCGAGAGCATCATGAGCGTGGCATGTAGTCATGCTGTTACATGACACGCATGTCGTGATTTTTATGTTAGGGTCTGTCACTTGTGTTTGCCACACAATCACATCATACCTTACCAGTTTCGCAACATTCCATGTGAACGGAACCACCGCAACAGCTGCAGGAGCATGAAATGTAAATCATGATATTTATGACATACCCGTCATAATTTTTATGTTATGACCAGTCAAAAGTGTTCTTTGTACAGTCATGTTATGCCATACCAACTTTGGTATCGATACCATTATCGAAGCGGCCAGGACAGCTAAAAGTCATAGGCGGCTAGATAGATAGATAGATAGATAGATAGATAGATAGATAGATAGATAGATAGATAGATAGATAGATACGCTCAACGTCGCCGAAGTTCGCTAAAATGATTGATATTTAAAAGAAGTGAAAGGTCAGCCCCGTAACTGTCTGCATCAGAGTGCGACACCTCAACAGTAGCTCTAGAGAGAAGGGGGCAAGGAGCGATTAAAAGGATAGAATTAAAAGGTAAATAGATAGAGAAAGGAAGGAGAGGGTGAGGCGCAGGGACAGCAAACGACAGATGACGACGGTAGTAAAGAGGAGATAGGAAAGATTGACATAGTCGCTGGATTCTGAGGACGGGGCACCACTCAGCGAGAGCTCTAGTCGGCGGCAGTAGGTGGCGTAGGGCGAGCCAGTCGGCCAGAGATGCGCCGTCATCGGAGATTGCGAGGGCACAACTGATGGGCACGAAACACAGGGAGCGAGTTTCTTTCCTTCTCGTTTTTAAGGACTCTTTCGTGGGATACTCAAATGTAAAAGTTTTGGTCTGTCTGTCTGTCTGTCTATCTGTCTGTCTGTCTGTCTGTCTGTCTGTCTGTCTGTCTGTCTGTCTTTTTGTTTGTCTGTCAAACTGAAACGGCTTAAGTATCACCACAATGTCAGAGCCCACCAATATTGCTGATGTTTCAGCGTTCATACTTGTGCGATTGTCGATTAAAAAGGAAATTTTGCGCATATTTAATGTACAATATCAGCACATCAAGAATATATGGTGCGTTTCTTAATACTAGAAAATTCATACATCACTCATTTTAAGAACTGTAGCGCTTGTCACGCTGCGGAGACAATACGATACCATGCGCGAAAAAGCGAGCCTACTACCTTGAAAACTACTAAATATGGCTTCCAAAATTGTTGCTTGAGATTACCGCCCGATAGCGCTCACGTCTCATGCAGCGCCTCCAGAATCCTATCCACTGATTTTCTCGCACGAGACATGAAATATATGTTTATTCTATTCACTCTCTCCAGACGGAAGACTATCGTCTTTCTACGACATGTGCAATCAAAGATGCAGATAAAGCGTGATTTTCTTGCCTTTTCGATTGTTCTTACATATTTACCAACATCATATTCGAGAGGGAAATACGTCAGCTGCGCGTCGCCGAGCTAATTTATGCCGTGGTGGAACCCACCATAAAACAAAAAAAAAAACAACACACGCATGACACGCAGGTGCTATGTGTTTAAAGCTTGTTTTTGGTCCTCGTCTGTTTGTTCATGAGAATTTACTAAAAGTGGACGTGTTTTTGGTAATGAATAGCCAAACCTACGCAAAGTAATTAGACATAAAAGAGTGGTGGAAGGGGGAAATATATTGTTGATTCCGCCAATATACCATTCAGTATAACCCTAAATGAAATGTATTCTTTCGGATATAGTTGAATATTTATCGTACATTGAGGAAGGAGAGCTTGCTCATTGTCTTTTGTTGATTAACAGTACTGGCTCCCCAGTGACGATTTGTGGTAAATGTCTATACTGAGGCAAACGTCAATAATCAAAGATGAAACAAACCTTTGTGCTCATTGATGCTGTGAAGAGAAAGCGATGTCTCCACGAGAAGTGTGTTACTGATTGAACGATGAACTTGACAAAGCCCGCGTACTCGCGGCACGTTATCGTGTCATCTTTAGCAGATTTGAAGCACTTCCGGTAATACTGTTTTAATTTTTAAATGCGAAGCATTTCACAGAGAACTTGGCCGACTTTGAGCGTATCTATCTCTCTATCTAGCCGCCTTCGACTTCTAGCTGTCCTACTGTTTCGATAATGGTATCGATACCAAACTTGGTATGACATAACAAGACTGTATGACGAGCATATTTGACGTGTTATAACATGAAAGTCATGACAAGTATGTCATGAATGCCATGATTTACACTTAATTGTCCAGCTGCTCTTGCGGTGGTTTTGTTCACATGACATGGTAAAAACTGGTATGGTGTGACATGATTGCATGGCGAACACAAGCGACAGACTCTAACATAAAAATAATGACATGCGTGCCATGTAACAACTTGATTACAAGGCACGCTCATGATGCGCTCGTGGCCGTATGTGACTGGTGTAAACATGATAATCATGAGATGCGTGTCATGTAACAACATGACTACATGCCACGCTCATGATGCGCTGGCGGCCGTTTCGTTAGCTTCACTTATTCCAAATTTGGTATTACGGAACGTGAATGGATGACGAAGGTATGAGACTGGTGCAAACATGATAATCATGACACAAGTGTGATGTAAGAACATGACAACATACCACCCCCATGATGCGCTCATGGCCGTTTCGCTAGCTCCTTGTATACCGAATTTCGTGTTATGTGACGTCCATAGACAACGAAGGTATATGATTGGTGCAAACGTGATAATCATAAGACGCTTGTCGTGTAACGACATTACTACAAGCCGTGCTCACGACGCACTCGCGGCCGTTTCAATAGCTTC